TAGCCTGTCTTTCCTGCTGCTCTTTCCTGGGGTCAAGCATTCAAATTCAAAAGACAAAAGTTAAGCCAAAAGACTCTAGTAAGGAAGTATTCCAATTCTTGTAAATGCAAGAAAAATTCTGCAAGTTGAGAAGTGGCCTTCCTTGGGTTCTGGGCTTGCAGTGGTTAAGGAGCAGACACACTAGCCCTCAGCCTGGAATGTGGCTGGGCAGTGGCTGCTGGGTGAGATGGTTGGTCTCACCTGAGAAGCTGCAGGGGAAAGGGACCTGGGGGGATGGGAGGGGCAGGGTCCCTCAGTGCTGCCCGCCTGCCCCCCAGCCCCCAGGCACTCCTTTCCCTGAGTTTTGTGGTTGCCAGTAAGACATGGAAATGCCATAGGGCATAGGGGGCACAGCCACCACCACAAGGGGCTTCTGGGGAGATGAGGGTAAGAAAAGGATGTCAGTACCAGTCTTGGCGGTGGGCCAGGGAGCAGTTCCTGGCCTGTCTCCAGCCCCTCTGGAGTCCGTACTTGAGAATGGGAGCTAATACTGTTCGGCACTGCAGTGACTCCACACACAAGAGCAGGGCTCCAAGGGGCTGCCTCTTCTCCCAGGAAGGGGTGAGAGAGAAGAGAGCTGCTCAGAGGCTGAACCTCTTGCCTTCATGGCCCCAGCTGAACACAGGGCTGAAGAGTTGGAGAGACGGGCTGGAACAGACCCAAGATCCCCATGGCTGCCTGGGATCCTGCAAGCTGGGAGTCAGCTGGGAACTCTCAGGCCTCTCTCCACTTGGCCTTGGGGATGCCACCACCTCGTTCTCAGAGCTGGGGGTTACTACTCCCTGCTGCAGACAGAGGGAGCTGGCACTTGGTGGCAGGACATATTCCAGCGAGGGCTGCTCGAGAGTGGGGGCAGGAGCCAGGACTAGGACAGTGTCAGTGGGCAATGGGGGATTCCAACTTTTGCAGGCGGCGGCGACGGAGCTCTGCAGCATCAGGTTCCCCATCCTCAGGCAGCTCCTCTGTGCCCACTGACTCAGGAGCTGGGAATGGAGAGGTCAGAAGTGGAACCTACAAGTCCCCTGCCCCACTGGCTATAGGCTAACCACTCCTACCTGGAGGCTTTTCCGTTTCCAGAGCTGATGGGGAGGTGCCTGGGGATGGAGTGGTGGGCTCAGAGCTGGGAATGCTGGTGGAGGAGGCAGCAGCGACAACTGTAGGGGAAGTCTCCTCTGTGGGGCTGACCACCGTGGCAGGCCGGGGAGGCCTGGAGAGAGAAGGGAGGAGAGGTGAGCCTGACCTAGGCATCCTGGGGCAGGCCGATCTCCCACCTTTGGTGAGCTTGGAGGACAAAGTCTAGAATGATGTGCTCCTATGACGAGCAGACACAAATGAACATGTGCTGAATGAACTCAGAACAACTTGATTTAAGGCCCAAGTGACACTAAGCCATGGACTGAAACTGCTGGTTTCCGTCCTGGGGGTGTCAGCAACCTTAAGGGTATCCCCTGAATAAGTCTCACAGCACTCAAGCCTTGGACTGCTGTCATTGTTGGGCAATGGGCACTTTGTACATGTCTCCTATGAATAGGAATTAGAACTCTTCTGTTCAAGTAAGGTCGTAGAGGTTGCAAAACCAGTGAGCAATGAGACCAGTACTTCCACTTTGGCTAGGATAGCTCCCAGTGACTTTATTATGTGGTGCCTCACTTGAGGAGCAGCAATTCCCCACAGTTTCACCACATGTCAGGAGACCATTATATGATAACGATATAGGAAGTAATAAGGTCATGAAAATTGTGAGTAATTTGCCCTCGAAAAAGTATAAAGTAAGAAGATCCAAAGCTTTCTAACAAGTATCGCTGAGATCCAGACATGCTTTCTGGAGAGGTTAAAAAAGTACCAGGAGTTGGTCCTTGAGGCTCTAGGTGGGTCTGCAGATAGATGGCCTAAGTCAGCATGGGAAGCGAGGGCAAAGAATCACTGTTAGGAACCTTCCCATGATAGCCCTCCCCTCCCCTCCCTGCCAAGTCCACATACTTACCCCAGGGAAGCCAGCACAGTGAGGTACTGGTTGATCTGCAGCATGGCAGCATCCAGCAGTGTGTGGATGTTGCGCAGGCTCTGCAGACGGGCCTCCAGATGCTGCCGCTCATGGCCCTCCAGAGCCTGCAGCTCCTCTGGGGTCAGGCCAGCAAAGCCCGCAGGGGGCACAGGCATTGGGGGGAAGGCTGGAGAGAGGCAGAGTCTCAGTCTGGGCTGCTTGGGCCTGACAACCAACCCATCCTCTACAACCTGGGAAGTGGCTCAACTTACCAAAGGGTGGGGGCAGAGGCATACCCATCCAGGGAGGCGGGAAGGGGAAGCCTGGGGCAGGGCCAGCCTCTGGGGCTGAGGCAGAGCCAGGGGCAGGGGCAGAGGTGGGAGCAGCACTGGTGCCAGCAGCTGCGGTTGTGGCTGCTCCACTGGGCCGAGAAAGGGCTGCTGAAGAGCAAGAATATGAAGTAAGTGTCACTGATCTGGTTCTGTCCCTACCCCCTCCCCAGCAGCTGTAGTACCCAAGAGGCTCACCTGCACTGGTGGTTGGAGGGGCCACAGCCTCTCCTGAGCTGGGAGGAGGTGGGACAGGGGGAAAGGGGCCCATGGGGGGCCATAGTGGGAACATCCCTGGAGGAAAAGGAGGCAGGAGGCCCTGGGGGACTGCAGAGAAAGAAGATAGGGTGGTGAGTAAAGTGCCAACCTGAGATAGACCCAATTCCCAGGCAGGGGCCTTGGCAATTGGGAGTTTCTGTCTTCTGTTCCCACAGGCTCCGACCTCAGCACTAGTCAACTGGTTGCAACCATCTATTTCTCATCTTTTCATTCCTCCTTGGCCTAGACTCTGAGCTTCTGAGGAGCAGAGATTAATTTTCCCAGAATATACTACACCCAGCCCAGCATATTAGATGGCCAAACAAGGGACACTCACAGTTGGGGGGCTGGGGCAGGAGTGGTGGGGGGTGAGGGGCAGGAGGTGGCCCCTGATCTGCTGGCTCAGGAGGTGGCGGTGACTGGGCTGGCAGGGATGCCCGCAGGACATCCATACGGCAGGGAGGGGAGGGCTGATGCCGCTGGGAGCACGAGGGCAG